GGGAAGGAAGGAAGAAGGAATCCTTGGGGAGCACCTACAGGCTGTGGCAGGCATCGTGCTAGCTTCAATCTGCCATTGATTGTTTCGGTCAAGTTAATCCTTACAACAACCCACGAACTGAGTTTCTGCCCCGACTTCTACAGATGAAAAAATTAAGACCGAAAGAGGTTAAGCAATGTGCCCCAGGACACACGGCTCTTTGGACTGGAGCCAGAAATTGATGCAGGTCTGGCTGCCCCAGCTCCCACGCTCTTTCACCTGCTCTGGGGAATAGGAGTTTCTCTCCAGCTTACCTGCCTGAGGTTTGCAAGTCGGGGGTTCTGCTAGTGTGTGTGTGTGTGTGTGTGTGTGTTCTCTGCGCAGAGAGGTGTGTGACGGGTCCCTTCACATCTCCCTGCTGCAGCCATCTGTCATCGCAGGCTGAGATCGGCATGGCTTTTAAATAGCCCTGTGGCCAGACTTACATTCCCACCTCCTGCCCGAACTCTGTCATGGGGTCTGGGCCAAAACCATCTCCAGCAATTGGTTTGCTCTTGTTGAGGACTTCCTGGGGGAAGAAAGCCAAGGGGGAGAATTCACAGGCGGGAGCACACTGCAGCCAGGGGGCCTCTGCTTGCTTCCCGGTATGTGCCCAGGCAGAGGTGCAGCGAATGGACAGGGCCCAGGTCAGAGGCCAGAAGACCTGAGTTGCAGGCCCCCGTGGCCCAGGTTTCCTTACACATGTCTGCCCTACATGCTCCCCAGGCATTTTGTGATGTTCAGACTCCTTGGAGTTCAGGTTGACCCCAGCTGAGCCCTCAGGAGCTGCGTTGGCTTCCTTGGGTCTAAGAGTCCCACCTGCAAGGTCGCCTGTAGCCTCTAAGTGTCTGTGGAAATCACGGGTCAGCAGGCACTCTCTCTAGATCTCACATCTCCTTCTCTCTCTGTTCTCTGACCCTTGAGCTGAGAGGCCATGAGGGTGGCATAGGTTCGTCACCATTTCCTTTATCGATTCTGCATGGCGTCGGTTAGATACATTGTGGAGTATTTACCCAGCATCTAATTAGTTCTTCTGACCTCCTCCTGGGTATCCTTGTCTTTTTCTTTATTTCCCATTCACTCTCCTGATCCCTTGTAAAAAAAAAAAGGGGGGGGGGAGACAGGGGAGAGGGAATGTTCCCAGAAAGGGTGATACGCTTCCTGCTGGCAGGTGTTTTCCCGTGACCCCCAGACCCTAGGATTCTCAGCCTAAACACCTCCTAAGACTTGCCATGAATTCAGTCATTTATTTATTTGGAGGCAGTAGAGAGGAATGGTTCAGAATCTATCCTCTGGAGGCAGATGCCTGAGATCATAATCCCAGTTCTAACCCACCTGCTTGGGCATGTTTCCTAACCCCTCTGTGCCTCAGTTTGCTCATCTGTAAAATGGGGATAATAACATTAAGTGCCTCCGAGGGCTGTTATGAGGATTACATAAGTTAATATATGTAAAGCCTTCATAATAGCTGGCCCGCAGTGAGTGTGTTTTAGTGTCTGCTATTAGTATTCGTTCCATTTTGATTGAGTGTCTGCACTGCTGTTCCACACACTATGCTTGGCTCTAGAGACATAGCAACAACGAAGAAGACAAGGTCCTTGTCCTCACAGAGCTTATGCTTTATCGGGGCAGAGAGACAAGCAAACAGCCTGTCATGTTAAGTGCTGTGACGCAGGAAGACCTGGACGTGTTGTGAGCACCTGAGAGACGTGCCTGGGTGGGTGCCAGGCATGTGATACCTGCCTTCCCCCCTCACTATGAATCACACAGCTCAAGCGCTTTCAGCCGGAGCCCAGTCCCCGCGGTGGAACACCATGCAAACCCCGAGCAAGACCTTCCACGGGAGGAACAAATATTACAACTTATATGCACATCCTTTTAATCTTAAAAATTAAGCTTTTCTAATTATGTCCTCACTTGGTCTGTATATCAGACTGTCACCTATCACTTTTGGCACGCAAAGTGTCAGGGAAGAGTGGAGTTCCCAGGAGAGGTGGTGCCTCTTGTGGTGGTTTGGTGTTTCACAACACACAATGTACAACAGTGCGTGGTTTACGGGATTTTTCAATTATGTTGTCTCATTTTAACCAGCAACCCTCACCAAGTGGAGAAGCGGCTCAAAAATCCCTGCAAAGAAACAGGATTCAAAATAACACCAATAACATAATCGCAAGTAATCATGAAAAGATGCAAAGCTGACGTGTCTCCTCTAACATGTAATCAAGCCACATCCCAAGGTAAAACAATGCTGACCTCTCAGATGTGACCCAAAATGGAACCCAGGATGCAATGATCAAGAAGGCCATGTGAACTATAGTTTACGTCTGTCATCTTTACTAACAAACCCTGCCTTGGGTATATAATGTGCCCAGACATAGCAGCTAATGACAGAGTCAAAGCTGTCAGGATTAAAAAACCATTTACCAATACCGAGACACTCAAACCTGGCTGTCCAAGTCTCTTGGTATTTGCAAGAATCTATTTCAACAATAAAATATATGAAAAACTATCTTTTTTTTAAAAAATCCTCACCCGAGGATACGTCTACTGATTTTTTAGAGAGAAAGAGAGAGAAACATCTATGTGAGAGAGAGACATGGACCGGTTGCCTCCTGCAGCGCCCCGACGTAGCGCCCCCAAGGAGGAGCAAACCTGCAACCTTTTGGTGCACTGACTGATGCTCCAACCAACTGAGGCCCCAGCCAAGGCAAGGACTATCTTTTTGTAAGTCATTAAAGAAAGGATGAACCGGAGGACATATATTCTCGACAGCCAATGACTTCTTGAATGAAAATAAACTTTACTAAACAACCCTGGAAGTATATCCGCTGAAGCTATGACTGGTAAGGGAACGGCGAGGAGAGCATTGGATGTAAAATTCCTTCACAGCAGACTTCATGGGCCAGCTATTGCCGCAAAGGAGTCAAAGCCAGATGACAAATTGTCCCCGGAAGTCATCGCGCAGTTAACTTTACAAAACAAGACCTTTAAAGTATGATGGTATCTTTATGGAACTTTGTGTTGGAATATTGTCTGTGAAAATTCCTTGAGCCCTTTGAGAATTGCTGGCTATGTCTTTCTTGGCAGAGGAATTGCCAGACTTAAAGATGAGCTATTCTTTGTTAAAAACCAAAAAAGATGGGTGTTCCATATTTGTTGCTTTTTTTCTGTGACGACAGGTGGCTGTCAGTGGCTACCTGCTAGAGCTTTTCAACAAGGTCGACAGACTAGTCTGTCCCTCCAAAGTAGTGGAGACTTTTCCATGTTTTTATTTAACATGGGTTTTTCATTTCCCTATAAAGTAAAGGGGAATGTTGTGAAATCTAGGCAGGAGATGTATCAACACCAAAACACTGAGAATTATTTCCTCATTATGGGGTGCTATAAACCATATCCATTTGTACACTTGAAAAACTTGAAAGCTGGAATTTTCTAACTTAGAATTTAATTTGTAAGAACAATTAACTGACCTGACCTCCTCACGGGAAGATGGAAATTTACTAGCCAGATTTCAGCAGCATCACATGGTTGGTAAATGTGAGTGAAAAATAAATGTCACGGTTTTATAAGCACAGACACTGATGAGTTTTCTTCCCTCTTGATCTAGGATGCTTTGTCAGCTATGGCAGCATTAAAACCAAGTATCAAAATAGACTGAACTTAGCCAGGGTGTGAATTGTTCTATCCAGATGTTTAAAAACCAGTAAAACAACTGTAGTTATGTAGGAGAAACTGGGTGATGGATACTCAGGTAGTATTTTTTGCAATTTCCTGCAAATCTATAATTACTTCCAAAAAAAAAGTAAAAATACGTAATAAAACATGTTTAATCATATGTGATATTGTATTACATCGATACATATATACGACATACAATTCTATATACTGTATACAATATATACAAAATATTTACTATATGCTATATACTGTATATGCTATATATAATTATATACAAGATATGTACTAGTTATTTAGTATCATTTTTATTAAGAGCAAGGTGGACTGAGAGTAGCCTGGTGGGAGCCAAGGAGGTACAGCTGCCCAAGGTGATGGCTTGGGGAGATGGGCCCTACAGCTGCAGTGGGCGGGAAATTCAGACTGCATCCAACTTTGCAGCATGGATGACAGAGGAGCCCAAGGGCCTTCATTGAGACCTGTCTGTATCTTCACTCCTCAGCCTCCCCAGTGATTGAAAATGGCCACCTGGAGTGTCCCCAGGGGTACAAGAGACTAAACCTCACTCATTGCCAAGGTAAGGATGACCAGGGCCACGGCTCAGCTGGGGATGGGAAATGACAGAGGCCTGATGATGCAGGGACACCCCACCCACCCTGCTTCGTCAGTGGACACTGCCTGTATGGTCTCCACTGGGCACCTCTAAGCCCCAGCTTGGGGGAGCTCTGGGGGTTGCTGGTTCTGGTTCCAGAGGCCTGAGGAAGTCAGGGGATAGTGATAGAGTGAGCTGAGAAAGGACCTGCAGCTGAGCCCATCTCCTCCTCCCCTTCTCCACCCACCCCCTCCTGGACCTGGGCCAGATGCCTCTCTAGGAATGTATGACTCCATGCCTGAAGGTGGCATCTCACTTCCCGCACAGCCACTCACCTCCTAGACTGAGCTCTCTGGATGGGAGAGTTTTTGACTCCAGTTGGAAGATCAAATCAGCCTGAGTTAGTGGAGATATCTGTGGACTTTCCCCAGCAAAGCACCTTCAGCTATTTCTGCCTCAATCCATGGCCAGGACAGGGGAAGGAGAGGGCACAGGGGGAGGAGAGGGGGACCACAAAGCATAAACCCAGCCTTGCTGGCCTGGTTGACAGGCTCTGTAAGGCCAGATGAGGCCCAGAGTGCTCTGCATTAGAAAGTAGCTCAGCCACCCCAGGGCCTCCAGGGGGTTAAGGTCCAGGGGCACCTTGGGACAGAAGGGTGAGAGGTAGGGCTCAGCTATGGCTTTGTCACTGCAGGGAATTCCAGTAGGGGTGGCAGTGGGACCAGGATTACTGAGGGGTCCAGAAGGCTCCCCTGAGGGAGGCAGCTGCTGCCACTCAGCAGCTCAGGCTCTGAGTGAAGAGCCCCTGTCGGCCATGGCCTGGCAATAGGTTTGATAGGAGTGGGGCCTTTCGGCCTGTGAGAGGATTCTGGGGCTGATGGGCGTCAGTGAGGAACTAAGGCAGTTTCCCCTTTGGGAAGCTTTGAGAGCCGGATGTAGTTCTGTCCGTATGGCTACTTCAGGTGAAGCTGGGTTAGAGACAAGGGCTTGACCCAGATGGCCTCCTGGGTGCCTTCCCCCGGAGGCTTCTTCAGGGGAGTGGAGTCTGAGGAGACCCTGGGGTGGCTGAGCTGTCTGCCTGTGAGGTGCCAGGCCCCACAAGGGATTTCTGGCCTGTGGATTAAGAAAAGTGCTTGAACCAGGCAAAAGGGCAGACTCCTGGCGCAGCCCGGCCTAGGGTCCACCTCCCGCACAGCCAGTGGGCTGAGGGCCTAGTGCACAGTGGGTGCAGAGAGGTGTCTGTAGTCTTGCCCTTGGAGGGTGCGGTAAGGCTGTTCATATCTAAACTGTCTCCAGTGGCCCCTCCTTCTGGCAGGTTTCCCAGCCTGGAAGGTTAAAGTTATTTCCAGAATCTCAAACGAGCTCTGCCGTCCATCCACTGAGCCCCCGGGATACAGGATGCCCCGTGTCTGTGGTGGTGGTCTCCATGTCTACGAAGGGCCCCACCCAACTCTGCGTCCCGTGTGCCACCTCCCCTCTCTCCCCATCCTTCTCTCCTACTCCCACAGGGAAATTTTGGGGTGTTGCTCTGAGCTGCATACATTGTGCCAGGTGCTAGTACACAGGGATGGCTAAGACACGGCTGCTGCCCCAGGTGAAGACAGACACCTAAACAATTACACAGCACCTGCCTCCTCCTCCTGGTTGGGCACCTCCATCCTGCAGCTCCCTGCGCACATGTCCCCCAGACTTGGGTCCTGCGGAGATGCTTCTGGGTCTCTTAAGGAAAGCTGATTGGGAGTCCCGTTCTCCACCCTCCAACCCCAGCTGTCCCCTTATCTGCTTCCCCTGTTTGTGTCCCAGCATGTCACTTACTAGCTGAGTGGCTTTGAGCAAGTTACTCCTGGAGCCTCAGCTCCCCCACCTGTAAAATAAGGACATGTGGACCTATTTGATAAAATTGTGAAAATTAAATGAGGTCCCACGTGTAAAGCGCCTAGCATGTTATAGGCACTCGGTAAACACTAGCTCTTAATATTATGATCATTATTACCAGTTACAGCACCCAGTGATTTGCCATTTTTATCTTGTTTTATCTTCCTATTCAAGGCTATCTGGTAGTTACTCTTATTATCCCCATTTTAAAGATGGGGAAATTGAGGCACAGAGAGCGAGATCAACTTAATAAATGGCAGCTCTCTTACTGTTGTCCCTTTATTTGGAGAAAGTATTTGAAGATCTCTCCCCCAGCCTTTCCCCTCCATCAGGCCTCAGTAGGGTGGGTGCATGGTCCTCTCCAACCCTGCAGATATCAACGAGTGCTTGACCCTGGGCCTGTGCAAGGACTCGGAGTGTGTGAACACCAGGGGCAGCTACCTGTGCACCTGCAGACCTGGCCTCATGCTGGATCCGTCAAGGAGCCGCTGTGTGTGTAAGTGCTGGTGGGGAGCAGAGTTGGGGTACACTGGGAGGCAAGATGGGACCCTCAGGGTCCACGGGCCAGGCCCAGAGCAGAAATTTCCCCCAGGCCCCATCCCAGGGCCCAGTGGCTGCTACTCAACCTAGAATTGGGCCCAGCGTACAAAAAAGGATCTGCCCCCTCCCGCTGACACACAGACAGCTGCTACTTCACTTTGGGCTTTAGGCATTTCTTTTGGGACTTGGCGGTTTGGGATTTTCTACTCCTGTTTTTCTCTAATCATTTCTGCCCCATCTGTGGCCGCATTTACTTTGGGGGGATGTGTGTGCCTCTGCCCTAACACCTGGCTGAGCGGTGGCTGCCTTTTCCAGCTCCTGCATGGAGCAGCCCTGTCACTCAGCTGCAGATCTTCCTGATAGGGCCTGTATCATGAATGCCACTGCTGCCCAGCCCCAGGCCTTTCCACAATCCTGTGGTCCTCTGTGGCTCTGAATGTGTTTCTGCATCCGTAAACACATACGTGTCACGAGTGGTATTGGCATCATGTCCGTGTGTGCGTGCGCGTACAGCCTGGCAGCTGTTTCCAGTGACCTCTGTGGTTTCCCACGGAGAGAGGCCCAGGCTGGCAACCCCTTCAGATGGCAGACTGACGCCACAGTCCAGACGGGGCTTTCCTGGGGCAGGGAGGCTTGACCAGAGCTGAATAAAACCAGTGCTGACTGGCCTCTGCCAAGTAACAGCCCGGATCAGGACGGCCACCCTGCTCAACAGAGCTCCCTGTGGCTGGCTAAGCACTCAGTCTGCAAACCCTCAGGCACTGGGACCAAGAAGACCATGGAATGAACATGACTCCAGCGCCACCCAGAGGGAACACCCATGTGAAGGGGGGACAAAGATGACAGGGTCCCGGTCCTGAAAGCTCCCCCTCGGGCCTTTGGTTCTCACCTTGTCTCATCTCCCCACGGACACCGTGGCCCTCAGAGCACACTGCTCCCCATTCAACCCCAGGCCCATGTTGGGCTTTGGTAAACACTTTTAACTCAGCACCCAGAGACAAGCAGGTGCATCCCCACTTCCGGCTCTCAGCTTCTCCATGTGGGTGGGAGCCAGGGTCCCCTCAAACAGGTAACATGAGGAGGTGCTGAAGCATTCCACTACCGTTCTTCCTCCTTACATTCTCATGAGCATTTTCAGGGCCCCAAACTCCCAGCCTGCGACGCAGGCCAAGCCAATCCGAGTGCACGAGAACAGCCACTGTGCCATCCTCTGCCCTCTCCCTGGCCACCTGCCCATTCCTACCTATGTCTGTTGCAGCGGACAAGGCTGTATCCATGCATCAGGGGCTGTGCTACCGGTCACTGGGGCCCAGCACCTGCACCCTGCCTCTGACCCAGAGGATCACCAAGCAAATATGCTGCTGCAGCCGAGTGGGCAAAGCATGGGGCAGCAAGTGTGAGAAATGCCCCCTGCCTGGCACAGGTAACCCTCGGTCCCCCTCTCAGCTTCTTCCAAGCCTGTGGCCATTTTCCCCCTCCTAGACCTAACCTCAAGCCAGAAAGCCCTAGTCTTCCTTCCTGCTCAGCTCCTTAACCCAGCCTGGAGTCCCTCCCTCCATGTTGCTGCAGCAGCCTTGTCCCTCAAAGGGAGGGGAGGGAGGTCCCTGGGTTCCTGCAGGAACAGCATCTCTCAGCATGCCTCTGACCATTGACCTTGCAGAGGCCTTCAGGGAGATCTGCCCTGCTGGCCATGGCTACACCTACTCAAGCTCAGACATCCGCCTGACTATGAGGAAAGCCGAGGAGGAGGAACTGGCCAGGCCCTCAAGGGAGCAAGGGCAGAAGAGCAGTGGGACTCTGCCCAGGCCAGCGGAGAGGCAGCCACTCCGGGCGGCCACCAGCACCTGGCTGGAGGCCGGGACCACTCCTGACAAGGGTATCTGGGCTGGGGGAGATGCCTGAGGGGTTCCCCTTTCCCCTTGGGTTACAACTCCTTGGACAGCCACCGGGAGTTTATCCTGGGTTCATGGCATCCATCTCTGGAGCCTTAGAAAAGGAAGTTTGGAGGAGCAGCACCCAGCCCTGGGAACCTGCTCCCCTGGCCTGGCATGACGGGAAGGCCTCGCCCCCTTCCTCTCCCGTATGGGGTCAAGAGGTACCCACATTCCAGAGGGTTGCTAATGGAGGTGGGAGAGGTCACCAGCAGCCCCCACCCCAGCTGCTCAGGCCTTTCCATCCCCTGCCCCTGGCCATGCAGCTTCTGAGACTGGTGCTGGCTGCAAGGCCTAAAGAGCTGGCAGGTGGATCCTGGGGAATCTAGATCTCCAACCCTGGCATTAGAGTCACAGCACTAACTCCAGCTCAGCTGCCTTAGGCCCAGGAGGCATGGGGCTGGGAGGAGACTGGGCCTGAGGCACCCCTGGCAGGCTCCCTGGGAAACCATGCAGAAGGCATGCCCAGGTTACTGGTAACCCAGAGTGCAGGAGGCGAAGGACATATTAGGACCAGGAGAACTATGTGATGGTCAAAATTGCTCTAGGGATCCAGAACAGACAGATAGGGAAGTCAGGACAGAGCCCCAGTCATCATGGGAACTGGACACCGGCCAAGCAAGAGCAACTCCTCTCCTTACTAGAACTGTTGTTCCCCTGGCCTGTAGCCCAGGGCAAGGTGTAGAATGACCTGGTGTGACTGGTAGGCTTGGGAGGGAGGAGGTGAGAGTGCAAGGAGGAAGATTACAGCTAAGACAGGGTGGACTGGCCCAGGTAAGGTAGGACTTCTGTCACAAGAGACCTCCTCCTATTGGCTCTCAGCTAACAGAGAAGGGACAGGAGAGACCTTCATCTAGTAGTGGAGTTAGTGCACATGAGCTGACACATGGGTCTTCGATCAGATGAGGTCGTGGATGAGACATGACATGTGAATGCTTCTCCAGGAGCTCCATACCCCTAAGGAGCTGGGGCTGGGAACAGGGCACTGTTCCAAAGTCAGAAAGCTGGGCTTCTGCTTCCTCTACTATAAAATGGACATGAACGCCTACCCTGCTGCCTCCCAAGGTCCATGAGATGTTGATGTTCATGCAGAGCTCTGTAAACTGTAAAGCTCTTTGCAAACAGGGGAAGAATGCTGACGTGGGTACCAGATTCCCAGCTTTGGCTCTGTGTCCAGGAAGCTAGGTAGCCTTGGACAAGTGGCCATGTCTGCAAGCTTTGGTCTCCTCCCCTGTGAAATGGAGGGTGAGGCTGGATGAGCTCTAAGACCCGATGGGCTCACAGATTCTCTGGCTCTCTCTGGGGCCAGGTCAAGTCTCAGGAGGCTAGGAGGCAGAGGGGTGACCCACCCTAGGCTCCCCCCTGGGTCTCGGGGTTAGAATAGCAGGGAGGAGGGAAAGGCCACTTCCAGCATCTCTGGAGGGAGCACTGTTCCTGGTGGGAAGGCAGGTGGCCAGGGGTTGGTGCCCACCTGCTCCCCCTCCCCTCTGCCCCCTACAGGAGACACCACAGGAAGACCAACGCCACCACTGCCTGGGCAGGGGATTCCAGAGTCCCGGGAAGAAGAGCAAGTTACCACCCCCACCAACGTGCTGGTGACCCTGGGTCCCCCAGGTACTGCAGCCAGCCCTGTGAGGGGTGACTGCGCAGAGCTGACTCTGGGGCCTCTCAACCAGATGAACGAACTCTGCAGTGAACTCTGACCCCAGCTCAGTGCCCTGGCCTCATCTCACAGAGACCACAGGGTTACCTAGTGAGCCAGGAGTCCCGACTGGAGCATGGGTCCAACTAGGAAGGGGAAAGGAAAGAACACCTTGGGGGAGGGTCTTACTCAGAGGCCTCCCAGGAGAATCCAGGGGCCTCTAGAGGAAGGGGAGCACGTGGAGCCTCCGGAAGCCTGTTGACCCTGAGTCATCTGAGTGCCTGGCAGTGGCAGCCTCCTGCCCACGGGGAGGGCCGACTTTCGGGAAGGTCTAGTTCTCAAGATTGTTTAACTGCCGGGGAGCCTGTGCTCCCCCCTCCACCCCACCAGCTACAGTGGTGAGGGGGTGCAGGGTGGGGAGATTCCTGGCAAATCCACCTTGCTCTGGAATGTGCCCTTCTTAAGGCTCACTGTTTGGGCACTTGGTTCAAGAGAAGCAGGGCCGGTGTTACCTGCTCTTCCCTGGGCACATGTGCCCTCACACGTGCCCCGACCAGGGCTTGCTGATCTCCTGACCTCACAGATCGAGGACACCTTGGTGGAGAGGGGTCTTTCTGGATTTCCTCTGGCAAAAGGAGAGACCCCGCAGCCTGGTGGAACAGTCCAGAGAATGTGGGGTGGGGGCTGGGTTTGTCTTCCTGGGCTTGAACCAGGGCATCCGCTGCCCCCTCCCAGGACCTCTCCTCTAGGCTCAGCAACTGCTCCTCATCTCCCCTCCACCTGGCAGGCAGCATGAGCTGGGGTAAGGGGCTCAGCTTAGGAGTCTGAGCCTCTGACAAGGAAAATGGGCCTGGAGGCAGAGGAAGAGGGGCAGGAGTGGTCCCGGCCAGGCTCAGCAGCAGCTCTAAGTGGGACAAAACCACCACCAAAATCTCCCCCAACCACCACCAATAGCCTTTTGCCTGATCCCCCGTCTTCCTAGCCATCCCCCATCCTCATTCCTCTGGAAGGACATTTAGAACCTGGCTGGAGTCCCCATGAGTCCCCAGGCTGACACTTGGAGCCAGGCCAGTGACAGGATAGCCTTGCAAACAGGCCAGTGTGCATGTTCAATTCAGTCCAGTTTAGCAAATGCTGTGAAACCCCACTGAGCACCCTCACAGGCCATATCCCAAACCATTCCCTTGGGGAAGGGCAGGGAGCTCAGGGTGTGTGGGCTTCCCGCTAAGACATCCGGGTGGACACAGAGGCCGAAAGCATCATTATTCATCCAGCCAATGATTTGTCCATTCAGCATGTGCTGAGTGCTGGGCACTTTTCTAATATCAAGGACACAGTTTAAAAAGCTAGTCTCTGCCCTCTATGGAGCCTCAGCCCTGAGTCCTGGTGAGTCTTCAAACTGTTTCTGAATTCAGTGTCTGTCTCCTCACTTTTTACCCCATTACCACCACCTAAAATGGTCCTTATTTAAATTATTTCATCAGGTTGCTAAGGGCCCCCAGTGCCCCCCACCCATCTCTCTGAGCACAGTGGCATGGCAAGATGAGTGGTCTTTCTGAGACAGCTCTGATCACACCCCCTTGCTTACATGTCTCAATGTGGCATTCAAGGCCCTGCTTAGTTGGCCCCAGCCCCTCTCCCATCTTCCCCTGGCAGTTCTCCCCAAGCACCCTGCTCACCAGATCTATCTGTCTGTCTGTCTAAGGGAAACTGGGCAGGATTTGCCAGGGAAGGGAATCACTGGGTACTGTGGTGAGAGCCATGCCCGTATTCAGGGTAAGGTCAGGCGGGAGATCTCAGCAGGGCCAGCCCTGCTGTGACTCAGGACATGGGTCATTGGAATCTACTTGGTCTCAGTCAGAGCGATGCACCCCTGTGAGCTCCCTCCTGGTAGGGCTCAAGGCCCTTGGAGGAGGTGCCAAGAGGGGGCCCAACTAAGGGTCAGATGAGGTTTCTGTGAGTCTTTTGAGGCCCCTGTGTCCTGCCTCCCCCACTCCTCCCACCAGCTCCACTGCCTTTGCCAACACCCTACCCCCCATAACCTCTGCTTTGCTCTGTCTCCCACAGATATTGACAGATGTGCCGCTGGAGCCACCAACATCTGTGGCCCTGGAACCTGTGTGAACCTCCCAGATGGATACAGATGCATCTGTAGCCCCGGCTACCGGCTGCACCCCAGCCAGGCCTACTGCACGGGTACTTACCCAGGGGTCCTGGCTCGCTCAGTGTCTGGGGTAGATGAGAGCAGGGCTGCTAGGGGACAGAGTCAAGAGTCCAGGCAGCAGAAGGTCCAAGCAGTGCTGTGTGATTTGTGGGTTAAGAAGGAGTACAGTCCCTGTGGACAAAGCTGACCTTAACCTTGGGGAGACCAATCTCTGGGAGCAGCATCTGATGAGTCTCCAGGACTCCAAGAGAGTGGGAAGCCATCCCAGGGACCCAGACCAGTGCCTGGAGCCCTCGGCTGTGAGTTCAGCCCACCCCTCAAACGGGCCATCTTGCTGCCTACAGAGTGGACCAAGTTTTGCCCTTGTTGTAAATGTCTCTACCGGGGCCATTATCAAGTGTGGGCCTGATCCCTACAAAGAAGGCACATACACTGTAGGGCAGGGAGGAAGTGGGGGACAGCCTCCCCAGGCCCTTGGTGCCTGAGTGGGCCCTATGGACTGACTTCATGGCTCCCAGTCTTAGAAATATTTCATCTTTCTGGCTTCCTCTGCTCTCTTATCCCCTCCTTGCCCCACAGCACCATCCCCTGTCCAGCCCTTAGCAGGGGCAGGTTGTAGGCAGGTGCCCAAAGAAAGGCCTCCCTGACCTCCCTCCCCACCTTCCTCTGCTCAGATGACAATGAATGTCTGAGGGACCCCTGCGTGGGAAAAGGGCGCTGCGTCAACCATGTGGGCTCCTACTCCTGCCTCTGCTACCCTGGCTACACACCGGCCACCTCGGGGACCACGCAGGAATGCCAAGGTAAGCCCTTGCCCTTGGGAGGGGCACAAGACCCCACGGAGAGGGCTGAAGTGGAAGAAGATCCAGGTGTCCTCAGCGCTCAGCCACAGCTCTGCAGTGTGGGGAGTTCAGGGGCCCAGGGAACCAAGACCAGAGCTCTGAGCTGGACTGGGGAGGAAGCCCACCGACCCTGGCACCGAACTCGAGAGGCATGAGTCCAAAAAGCAGCAACATTCCCAAAAGCTTCAGAGCACTGCGGCTAAAGCCAAGAGTGTGAGGGTCCAGGGTGACCCAAAATCTGAGTGACAGGGAGCTGCTTTCATTTTGGGTAAGGAGGGCAACCCATGAGGACACCATCTAGGACTCCTGGCAGACTGGGGAGAAAACATGCCTTTGGGAGAGGAGAGGAGAGGAGAGGAGAGGAGAGGAGAGGAGAGGAGAGGAGCACAGGTCCTCGGCAGCTTGGTGCTTGCAAGGCTTTGAGCTTCCCAAGGAAGCCGTGTATGGGTGAGGATGCTTCCGACACAAACCCTACACAAATCCTTTAATATGCAGCAGTTATATTGTGATAGACACACTGTTACAGAAGAGCTCCCAGAGAATATGATGCAGCACTTTCCAAGCTGGGACTTAAGATCCATAACCCAATTGGATCCTTCACCTGGAGAATGGCACTGCCTTCTTGGGGCTCGCATTGTGGTTCTGACCGAGGCAGCCCAGTAGGCGCTCGAGGGCCCCTCCAGGAAGCTGTATACCCTCCCATTGCCAGGGTCCCCAAGGATCTGGCCTGTAGAGACCAAGGCTGCCCAGGTCCCCTCACCTGATTGTCGGGGAAGGGGAGTAGAGGGGACAAACCACTTCCCTAATTGAAGAGTGGGAGACTTGAGGGCATCATTCATTCAGCACTCAAGCATCGAGCACCTATGTGCCAAGAGCTGTGTGAGCTCTGAGGACAGTGTGATGAGTGAGATGTGAACGGTGGGTCCAGGGGATGAGTAAACAATTGGTTCTATATGGAAGAATGCGGGAAGGTTTCCCCATGAGGGTGTTTGAGCTGGGGCAGAATTGGAGCTACCTTTTAATGAGCACTTAGTACAAGCTGGTGCTGTCCTAAGCACTTTATTTATGAAGCTCATCATCCCAAGCCCATGCAATAGAAATCTTTATGCCCATTTTATAGTTTAGCAAACTGAGGCTCAAGAGGTGAATTGAAACACCCAGGGACCTCACACCTAGTTGTGGCAGAGCTTTGTGTCTAACCACACACTCCCTTACACGCGAAGTGAAGGACTGGAGGGAGAAGAGGGTATTCCAGGGAAAGGGAACCATTTCTGCAGGGAGCAGAGTAGTGAACAGGCCTGGCATGCTCCAGGGATAATGATAAATCCAGTGTGACTGGAACATGGGGCATGCGGAGGAAGTGGCAGGGGCGTAGCCAGTTGCGAAGTATCTTGAGTGCCAGGCTGAAGTGCTTGGATGCTGTCCCACAGGCAGTGGCAGCCAGTAGAGATCTGTAAGCAGAGGTTGACAATTCGGTCAGTTGGCTTTCAGGGACATGACTCAGGCAACGGTACTCCAAACAAGCTGGAGTTGGCGAGGGGAGAGGCTGGGGGCAAGGGGCTTCTCTGGGCTTCGAGGCCTTGGCGGGTGCTGTGGGCCAGAGGCACTGCTCTCTGCAGGCCCAGCCCTGGGTGCTGGCCTGGGACCAGCAGTGGCTGCTGCAGGGAATGGTGTCGCCAGGACTGGCCCAGACGAGGAGTTTTGCTGTGTGCCGGCCTGGGTGTCTGGGATGTCTCTGCCAGACCCCACAGTGGGGAGGGGGGGGAGCTCAAGGTCAGCTGTCAGTACTTCTCCCAGTGGGGCCTGGCTGCCACCTAATGCGGCCTTATCGAGCAAAACATCCATGTTCTAAATTTCACTGGGCTTGTGAAACAATATCTCATTATTTTAAATATTTACTTTGTGAGTTATTTCATTAATTTACACTTTCTAGAATTCAGATAATATAAGCCTAATTGAGTAACATAAATTACCTGGCTATTAAGTATTTAAAATAAGTTACTTTACGGATGAGCTTCTTTTCGTAGGCTAGCCTTCGGGTTTCCTTACCTGGAATGGCTTGTTCCCGTCTTTCGCTCAGTTTTCCAGTTTTCCAGTGGCAGTCGCTGCGCTTCCCTGTGGCTCCTTTGCAGTTTTTATATTCCAGACTCGCCTGGGCTTGGGTGCTGCAACTCTCCCACTTTGTCCTCTGTGCATTATCCTTATTCACAGGCCCTTCTTTTTACAGAAATCCTTAATTCTGATGTATTGAAATTCACCTTTTTGCCCAATTTTTATGCTTTTGGGGCTTAAGCCACAGAGCTGTCCTCCTACATGTTCTTTCAGGAAAGGTATAGTTTCGCCTTCCGTGGCATGTTTAACTCACCCGGAGCCCACCTTGCATGTGTGTTAAGACCCGGGCTTTTTTTCCATTTCCATTTCTCTCCAGAGAGCACATCAGTGTTCCCAGCCTCATCTATCAGACAGTCATCCTGGCCCCACCAGCTTGTGGGTCCGTTATCAAGTCCCCACATGTGGCTCTGCCTCTGAGTTCCCTTTTCTCTTCCATTGGGATTAGAGCTTCTAAAGGGAGGACTAGTTATTTCAGAATTGCCTGGAGAGTTACTAAAATGCAGGTCCCTGGGCCCGTCCAGTAAGGCTGGGTCAGAACCTCCAGAGTGGGCCCGGGAGCAGGCATTTTACACCTTCTGCCGGTGACTCTGCTGTGCGCTGGTGCTATGAAGCACCGCTCAGAGGAAAACACTGTCCATAAGCAAATGATAATTATTCCGTTCATGCTGTATATGCACTTTTTGGGGTTCTGTGTTGGGCACTTGGGGTCACTAGGATAGTAGGACATATTCTTGGCAATCGGGGAGAAAAAAGCAAGTAAATGAACAGTTATGGTTAGGGGTGAGTCCTAAGGGAATGCTGGGAAGGGGCATGTGGGTTAGAGGGGAGCAGTCAGACTGGGAGAGGAGCAGGAGACAGCCAGGCCAGGGGGTGGGAAGCTACTCCAGGCAGGGAATCAGCATGTGCAGAAGCTCAGAAGCAGGTCCTATGTAGCTGAGGCCAGGAGGTGTGTGGGAGGCAGGAACCGAGGTGAGGGACTTAAACGGGGCAGCGCACGGAAGATCTTACCTGCCGGGCGGAGGAGCTTGGATTTTATGGGGTAGGTTTAATGCTACAATAATAATAGCTAACATCTCTTCAGTGCCTACTTTGTGCCAGGCAGGCCCTGAGCTAAACTCTTCACCTGGATTGTCTCATTTAATCTATGAAGGACTCTGTGAAGTGTTTGAATCAGTGCTGGGGGTGGGGGCAAAGGTGAATCCTCCTTTAATTAGACTGTGGGGCAGAGAATGGGAGGTGGCCAGAGAGACATAGAGTTAGTCAAATGAGCCAGTCTTTGAAATGGGAGTAGAACTCTGCTGGCCATCAAACCAAGCAGAGGCATTCGTGTGAACAAAGGCTTAGAGGCTGGACCAGAGGGGATCATCAAATACAGGCTGAGCAGTGGGGAACCCTGGTAGGGGTTAAACAAGGGAGTAGCATGACCAGGGTTGGGCTTTGGAGCCATCATGGGGCACCAATATGCTTTGGGACATGGGAATAAGCCTCACTGATAGTTCCTCAGCTGCCTAACATTCTGCCTCTCACTTGCTGCTTAATCCCAACCTTTAAGGAGGCCTGTTAAGAACTCTAGGACTAGACCAACACAAGGGCTATACTGGGGTCAGGAGGGGGACTTTGTTAGCTTCCTCAGATCATGCCCTATGGACTGCCACCTGATCTCAAGACCAGCCCTTGCACTGTGGTGAGGAGACAGCTGTGAAAGTCCCCATGGGCCCCCAAAGTAGCCTCCCTACTGATGGGAGAATAGAACTCGGGAGTTTGAGCTAGGCCAGTCTCAAACCTGGCATAGAAGTCCCCTGCCAATCATGGCCACAGCAAAGACGTCTTCCCCTCCTGGGCCTCAGCATAGGTATCCTTGTCCTTGGCCTCTGAAGGGAATGTCCCCAGGACCCTCTGCAGGGCTGGCTCCAACTCAGGTCTTTTCCGTGTGTTTGCAGACATAGATGAGTGTGAGCAGCCAGGGGCGTGCCACGGGGGCCGGTGCACCAACACAGAGGGCTCCTACCACTGCGAGTGTGATCAGGGCTACGTCATGGTCAGGAAGGGACACTGCCAAGGTAAGGAACTGGATGCCACCCCACCACCTCCTGTTCTCTCCCCATGAACTGATTGTCCAAATCCCCTTTCAGCTTGTCCCTGACTGGGCCCTTGATGCCAAGCCCACTCCTATGGACAGAGACCTATCTGGGAACATCTGAGCCCTTCCTTCCCCTCAGTGATATTTTGGCATCCTATCTGCCCTCGGAGTAAGGAACATAAGCAACTTTGTGTACATGAGACCCTGGAACATCCCTGCATACACCTGTGGCCCTCACTTTGAGTCATAGAACTCTCCTTGTATGGAGAGGAGGAATCGATCTACCTGGGAGGCACCAGGGACCTCAATCTTGGCCTCCTTGCTAAAGAATTTAGGCTGTGAGCTCCTTAGAACTGGACCATATCCTAGATGACCCATGATAATTGTCTATGTGTTGGACACCCCCAACAAATTTTAATTGAATGAATGAATGAATGAATGAATGAATGAGCTGCTATCCTTTCTCCCTTTCCTAGGTCAAAAGGTGGCTATGATATTGCCAACTGGCTTGAACCTGCCACTATTGTGCTACCTCCTGGCAGCTCTGCCACCACCACCTCCCTGCCGGGCTGGGGTGTCAAATGCTTGCAAGAGGCCTGGGTTATGTGCTCTCAAGACTGGCTGAGACAGGAATAAATGAGGGTAATTCAAGGCTCTCTCGGAGAGAAATCATGCCCCAGATCCGAGGTTAGGCCCAGCCTGCTCCCAGCCTCCAGGTTTTTCCTGACCAGGACTTGCCTGGATTTAGAGGGTTGTGGTGATAAGGGATTAGCTTGTGTGCCTTGTGAAGGAGAGCCCCCTTCCCAATGCCATGACCACAGAAACAAAGTCCAGAGTCCTAGAAGTTCCTAGCAAAGGCAAGAGGCAGCTGGGGTTGTAGGGTGGAAAACTCTGTCTGCACGCCCCCACATGGCACCTTCCCGTCTCAATGCCTCCTGCTTGGTGCTCCCCCTTTAAAACTCAAGTCTGTATGATCAAAGCCAGGACCCCTTGTTTTCATTAGCATGATGGAGAATGAAGGGAGTTAGCATTTGATAGGTACCTACCATGTGCCAGGCACTGTGCCAGATACCTGATAGATTGCCTCCTTTAAGCATTGTTATGAATTTGACCTTAAACTTCATTAAAAAGAAAAACAAAACTAAAGGAAATGAACCAAGCAAACATCAGGACATTAAGAAGATCAGATTTGGCCCTGACTGGGTAGCTCAGTTGGTTAGAGAATCGTCCCAATACGCCAAGGTTGCTGGTTCAAACCCCAGTCAGGGCACATATAAGAATCAACCAATGAATGCATAAGTAGAACAAATCGATGTTTCCTTCTCTCTCTCTCTCTCCCCCTCCCTCAAGTAAATTTTTTTAAAAAAGATCAGATTTATGCTAACCAGTCCATGTTAAGGGCACAGGCTCTGGTGGAGACAGGCCTGGGTTTGGCTCATGTCTCAGTGTCTGAAAATGGAAACAATCATGCCCATCTCAGAGGCTCTTGTGAGGACCAAATAAACCATACAATGTGCACACGCAGACCCTCCGTGAACACGGGGAAGTGTTACTATCTGGGAGCCCTATTCTTTTTTGCATCTAGATTCCCCCTGACCCCACGCCCCAGACCATGCCTCTGGGTTGCCCCCTCCCCTTCCGGAGGAAAGATTCCAGACACACACCTCAGCTGGGAGGTCAGGCTGAGTTCCTGGCCCAGGGCAGACCCTGAGGCTGTTGAAAGAAAGACGGATGTAGCCTGCACACTTCTCCAGGTTTCCATCAGTAACCACAGACCAGGCCCACCACCCAAGGAGCCCAGTCAATTTTCTCTCCCTCTTTCTTCTTTTTCCAACTAAGAAACCACTCTCTGCACTTAAACTCAGGGTCTCTGCCGAAAGGCCTGAGTGGTCTGGGCAGCAGCCCATCCAAAGTCTCAATGGCATGTCTATTGAACCAGGACTCTGAGTTCCTGTGGAAAGGGGTTAGATTCCCCTGCAGACTGCCAGGGCTTTGCTGCCCCCTACCCACATCCAAGGTCACCTGAGCTTCTGGCCCCTGACTGAGCACCCTCCCCACCCTATGCCCTCACAAGGAACAGAGGCGGGTGCCCTTCTGTTTCCTAGTGCAAAGTCTGCAGTGCTGGTGGAGAAGCTCCGAATTCTCCCAATAGACAGCAGGCTGGCAAGCTGGTGCCTGGAGTGACTGTTTCCATGGGTCTTCTAGGGTTTCTTCAGCATCCTCATACCAAGAGGGTGTGAAGTTTTAACACATTGTTTGCAGGTAGTTTTTATCGCGCGCTCTACTACCAGTCAACTTAAAACGTATAAATACGTTTCCCACATACAATGTGTTAATCTCATTGTTTGATCCACAAACATTTGCTGAGTTTCACCTGTGTCCCAGCCATGGGCTCAGAATATAGAAGTAAGAATGATAGCTCCCACCTTCATGACCAGGGTGAAACCTACCAAAATATACCATAATCTTGAATTAAAATTCAAACCCTAGACTAGGCAGAAAAACCCGGCTCCACTCCAGGCACCAAAGGGTTGGTGGAACAGCCTCAGTAAATCTGGTGACAATGGGAGAGCTAGTGCTTTCAACAGGGACTGGTTAGATGTGGCACCACTTCATGCACAATCTTTATCTGGCTTCTTATGATTGCTTGGCTAATGGCTCCCATTGAGAAGAGGCCTTCCCTGTGTCTGGGGGAGACTAAGGGCTGCTTTGCTCTTCTGCCCTCATCTTCTGGTCTATTGCACTTGCTAATAGACCTCTCCGGTGTGATCATTGCTGGCTGGGGCCCTGAGGAAGGAAGGCAGCAGTGACCTCCCAGGGCAGACTAAGTTATGCTGCACTAATGAACAACCCCAATCTTAGTGACTTAGAACACAGCAAACTATTTTTTGAATTTTTATAAGAGTTTATCTGAGCCAAACTGAAGACATTCTGGGAGCAAGGTCTCAAATGCTCCCAGGACACAGCAAACTTTCTATCTGACCAATGCCACATGCCCATCGCGGGTCAGCTTGGCATCCCGCCCCCCATTTCCTAGCTCTAGAACCAGGCTAAAGGAATAGCCGGTGTCTTGAATGTGGCCAGAAGGTGTCATTATAGAGCAGAAGAACACTGCAGCATTGCACACAATTAAACGCTTTGGTCCATAAATCACACACGTCTAGTCCCCTGGCCCCGCCCAACCACAAGGGGCCAGGAGGCAGGCACAAACCCATCATGACCCAAAAGAGCTAGAATATTTAGTGAACAGCAGTGGGACCACAGTCTCCTAATCCCTAGCATAAGACACTTCATGCACCACCTCCACGGATGTGCCCAGATAATTTGGGACAGGACAGACCTCAGGCAGATCTCATCCTCCTATACTTCCTGATCCCTGCAGGCAAGTCCAAAGACTTCATTTCTCCTCAGTGTCATCTGAGAGGAGGCTCCCTGCCTGTTCCTTGCCCTTTGCTTCATCCCCGAAGTCTTGCCTTCCTGAAGCAAGGACCTCCGCTCAAGTGGTGGCCTTAGACCCTTCATTCCCCCCATCTGTCTCATCCTCTCCATCTCTGTCTCTACAGAACCCTTAGAATAGTTTAGCTTGGTGTCACCACACCCAGCTAGGGGCTGCCCTCTTTCCAGAGATGAGCCTTATCTCGGTGTCCCCAAGATTGCACAGGAGTTCTGAGTGTCTCCTTGCAGACACCCACCTGACTATCTACCTACCCTGTGAATGCCTTTCTCTTCTCTGGGAACCTCAGGCTGAAATTTTGGCCTTGAGAGGGCCCTGATTTCCTGGGGCAGGAGGCTTTGATCTATCCTATCTCCTGCAAGCCAAACCACCTCAGGGGAGACTCATTTTCACCCTCTACTGCAGGGCCCATGTCCTGTTCTGTAATGACATCTTCTGCCTTTGGTCCCTTGGCAGAAAGCCTGTGTTCTGAGCCTTGACCCTGCCTCCGGTGTTTCCTCCATGGGGCTGAGTAGGTCTTCCTTCTGAGCCATAGGGCCTCTGAATCTGCATAAGCAGGTAGACTTCCTCCAAGACAATGGCAGTTACACATTTAGGGAGAGGAAACCCTCCTGTTTCTTCTGGAGCTCAGTCTGTGTGTCATGATGTCAAGACCAGGAGCCTTGACACTGGGCTGGGGGAGCTTTGTGTTCTCCTGCAGGCCCAACCCCGAGTTCTGTCCCTGTGCTAGGACCTTCCTAACTCAGCCCCATCCCCTGGGGCCTGGGGTATGGGCTCCCTGAGATGTCAGATCACATCAGGAAGAGCCCTGTGTGCAGTTCCTGGGAGCAAGATCTCCACCCTCCTCCTTGTCACTCTCCCAGGACTGCTGCTTCTCTCCCTCCTAGGTCCCTACTTCCCCTGCTTGTCTGGTTGATGCTCAGGCCCATCCTTTCTGGCTGACTTTCCTGGATCTCACCAAAGTGGGTGCTGGGAGCCCTACATAGACCTTGGCTGGAAGAAAAGTCTTCTCTCCAGCGGAGAAACCTTGCCAGTATCCACCCTTAGCTCTGCATCAGCCTCAGGGCTGGTCTTGGCCACATTGAAGGCTGGGGGTCATCTTCAGTCCTCATTTTCTGGTGCAGAAAGCCTATTTGCCTTCATCACCCAGCTGGTGATCCATTCTGGGGACTGCTGCTCCAAGTACATACAATCCCAGTAATTGTCACCACTTGTAAAAAAAAAAACAAGAAACAAAAAACAGGAGTTCCCCAGGAGAGATACAAAGGCCATTCCCAACAGTCCAGCTCACAACGCAGTGCTCTCTCCCCCTCCCACAGCTCATGGGAGCCACAGCCTCCGGCGCCCACCCAGGAAATCTCCCTTTCTAAAGTTCTTCCATCTCTCCCTTTGTCCAGGACAGTGGGTGGGAGGTGGAGTTGGGAACACAGGACAACACTGTCTTTTTCCTACTTTCCATCTGTACCAAAACTGGCATTCCTTCCCCTCCCCAACCAAGGGCGGGGTAAGGACTTGCTTCCTCATAGACCTACCTTTGTGCTGTGGTTCCCAGGGATGACCAAGGGAGGGTCTGCTATTTTGCAGATATCGACGAATGCCGTCACCCTGCCACCTGCCCCGATGGGAGATGCGTCAACTCCCCCGGCTCCTACACTTGCCTGGCCTGCGAGGAGGGCTACAGGGGCCAGAGCGGGAGCTGTGTAGGTGAGGGCTGCTTGCCAAGGTACTGAGAGGACTGTTTGGCCTCGGGACCTCTGGTTGAGCCAACGCACAGGGAGAGAAAGGGGTGGGCAGAGGGAAGTGGTTTGGAGGCTATTGCCCTTCATGAGCTGGCTGGGTTCCCAGATGACGTTGGGCATGAGATGAGTGTACTTCAGTTGCTGACGCTCCACTCTCTGAATTAGCCAGGGTGGGGGCCACTGTGGCCACTGTGGTCATATCCATTCAGGAGCTATAGCCCAAGGTCCCAAAAGCCTCTGCGGCTGGATCCTGGGTAGAGTGAAGTGCCAGCCATCTTAGGAAGAAGCCGAGTCTGGTGGTGAGAGCTGGCATCCAGGCCCTGCTGTGGTTTCCTGGGAGAAGGGGTCTTCTGCCCTGCATCCCAGCAGCAGTGTCTAAAGAGCAACGCCTAACTCAACAGTGGGTGCTCTTCTCTCTCCAGAGGGCTGCATGTCAGCTGTAGGAGGAATGTTCTTTCCCCTCCGCCCTCACAGGAAGAAGGGCCCAGGGTTCTGAATGCCAGGAGGGACTGAGTTGTGAATAGATGCTTTGAGGCTCTGGAGAGGGCAGACATTTCCCAGGCCCTTGACATTGCCTTTCAGCCACCCAGGCAGAGCTTGGCCTTTCTTCGCATTGCCCACTCACCTATTGAAGCTAGTCGTGAGGCTGGGAAAGAGCCCATACCAGTTTGGTTGGCAGGTAGGAAGCCAGAGAGGTTCAGGACCACTGTAAGGTGAGCAGGGGTCTTGGACACTTCACTCCAGGTGTCCTTGGATGTGCCAAACCAGCCCCAGGGCTAAGGGACCTGTCCCCTTTTCTAGGATATAAGCAGGGTTCTCGGTGTTACTAGATAGAGATGAAGTGAGCTCAGTGGGGAAGGTGAGTGGAGCCAGGGGCAGGCATAACCTCAAGGTCTCTGGGTCCTCTGAATGGTGATTCCTTGGCCTCATCATAGAAATGCTCTAAGCCTGACAAGGGGGCTGCGTGAAGGAGAGGAGGCCAGCTCGCTATCCTGGACTTCTCTCCCACAGATGTTAATGAGTGTCTGAATCCCGGGGTCTGTGCCCATGGAAGGTGCTACAACCTGGAGGGCTCCTTTAGATGCTCTTGTGAGAAGGGCTACGAGGCCACCTCAGATGAGAAGAGCTGCCAAGGTACAGAGATGCTGAAGCACACTTCCTCCACAGCAAACCAGTCTGCAGCCCCTTCCCTCTGCACACACACTCCCAATCCACCCTGGTCCCACACCCTAGCCATGCTACCCAACACATCGCTGCCAAGACTCATCCTTTCCCTATCCCCTCACACCTGTCAGTCTCTACTGTCCTGGCATGTCTGTCCTGCAGAGTCCCACACAGCACTCAATGACCTGTTTCAGATGTCAACGAATGTGCCAGCCGGGCCTCGTGCCCCACAGGCCTCTGCCTCAACACTGAGGGCTCCTTTGCCTGCTCAGCCTGTGAGAGTGGGTACTGGGTGAATGCAGAAGGCACGGCCTGTGAAGGTAATCCTGGGGAGGGGATGGCAGAGAGGGACCGAGAATATAATGTAGGCCCTCCTATGGTCCAAAGAACATTCTATTTGTCCCCTAGTTTTGGGCTAATGCTGAGGGTCTCCAGGCTAGGTTAGAAGACCCTATACATGGACTTGGCCCCAAGGAGAGTTTATAGTGTCATAATCCCCAAGTTTAGAGGTAAGGACAGGAGGAAAGAGGAGCCAGAGACAAGAGGTAAGCTCACAGCTGGGGAGGGGGTGCTGGGGTTGCCCTACAGGTCCACAGCCAGGGCTGCCCTTCCCAGGGGCCTAGAGAGAGTCCTCTAAGCTCAGAGAGGGAGACCAGAGACATGGGAAGTTCCTGCCTGAATTGGTAGAGGGAGCCTTTCCCAGCCCCCAGGTGACCACAACTGTCTGCCCCAGACCTAGATGAGTGCGCCTTTCCTGGAGTCTGCCCCTCAGGAGTCTGCACCAACACTGCCGGCTCCTTCTCCTGCAGGGACTGTGACCAGGGCTACCGGCCCAGCCCCCAGGGCCACACCTGTGAAGGTAAGAGCTCCTGTGGCAGATGAGGGAGACCAACCCATCACCCTTAGAGAATGGAATGGCCAGGGCACAGCAGGGGTGGTTCCCAGACCAGGGGCCTTCTGTCTCCCTCAGATGGTAGGCTAGCTGTAGACAGCTGTAGATATGGCTCTAGGGGGCCAATGAGCCACTGGGTCACAAGCTTCAGTGTGCATCAGCATCGCCGGGGGAGTGCAGCTCCCTGGGCCTTGTCCCAGACCTGTTAAATTAACTTCTGTTGGGGGGGGGTGGTGTCATGGGATCTGTTTTCTAACAAGCTCCCTAAGAGTTCCTCGTAAGGGTGGGTGCTGGAACCGTATTTTGAAAAACACTGACCTGTACCAGGGAATCTATAGGCCAACTTGAAGAATCTAGTTTCTGTTATCTTCTCAGGTTTTGTGTATCTGTTTCCTTGGTTTAGTTCCCATTTGTCTTCCTATTGCTTCTCAGTAAAATCTAAACCATCTCAGCCACGAGGGCAGTGGCATTTGGCCATCCTAGGCCAGGGTTGCTGAGAGAGGCCGAGCGTCCCCAAGGTGGGCATTGTCTGGGCAGCTGGAGAAGCCCAGCTAAGAGGCAGGGGAGCCTGCTGGGCGGGGGCAGAAGTGGAGGGAGCTTCAGTCATCCTGCTGCCCGAAGGCTCCCTCACCAGCTTCTCCAAGCTGTGCTGCTTTATAAGGGGATGATGCCTCTATGAGGCCAGGCTCCTCAGGCAGGTGACAGGCCCTCTGGAAACCTCCCCATTGGTTCCTGTCCTTGGGAGGTGCTGCCATCAGCTTCCTTCCTCCTGTGTCACCCTGCAGACGTGGATGAGTGTGAAGACCTCCAGAGCAACTGCCTGGGAGGCGAGTGCAAGAACGTAGCTGGCTCCTACCAGTGCCTCTGTTCCCGGGGCTTCCAGCTGGCCAACGGCACTGTATGTGAGGGTGAGTGGCTCAGGTCTCCCCACGGGGGACTGGGAGCAGTGAGTGCGTGGGGAGACAGGAACAGCCCCGGGAGACACCACTGCCTGTCTTCTCCCTGCAGATGTGGATGAGTGCGTGGGAGAAGAGTACTGCGCACCCCACGGCGAGTGCCTCAACAGCCACGGGTCCTTCTTCTGTCTCTGTGCACCTGGCTTCCTTAGCGTGGAGGGAGGCACCAGATGCCAGGGTGAGAAGCAAGTGTGGCCATGTCCACTTGCCAGCAGCAGGGGGCGCGAGAGTCCCTGTCTAGAATATTGACGTAAAATGCTCCGGGTCCCACCCTGGGATGGGAAGATGGGAGGCTGACAGTAATGAGGAGCCAAGTGTCAGGGAGCGACACTTTCACCAGGGCCTCTGCAATGTCTACAGCATGCATGCACCCTCTGAAGTCTTTGAGGGTCACCCTTCTCTCCTTGACAGAGCCCCGGTTCCAGGGCTCCTCCCCCCAGCCTGGCCTCTGCCTTCCAGCTTTGCACTCCTCATATCTTCAGCCCTTTCCTACCCTGATCCACTCCCTGGCCCTCCTATGGGCTACTTAGGGCCCACAGGAACCTGCCCAGGGCCCTAGGGTCCCACGGCTGGGTCTGCTGATTGATGTCCCTGTTTTAGATGTGGACGAGTGTACAGTCACAGACCGGTGTCTGGGAGGGCGCTGTGTCAACACCGAGGGCTCCTTCAACTGTCTGTGCGAAACTGGCTTCCAGCCCTCCCCAGAGAACGGGGAGTGTGTGGGTAAGGGCTTCAAGGGGGAATGGACAGGCTCTGCCCCACGTCTGCCACCTCCACCCCTGCCTGGTCCCCAGCTCCCTGGGATCAGCAACTGCAGCTTCCGGGAAGCAGAGCACTTTCCACACATTAATCACCCGATGGATAATGCATTTATTGAGTCTCTGCTAACTCAGGGACTGTGCAAGGATTGCAAGATGGAGACAGTCATAATCCTTGTGCGGGCAAGGCACACAATCTAGTTTTTGAAGCCAAACCGATTCAATAGACATTTATTAAACACCTGCTAGGTTCAATATCTTTTGCTAGGACAAATAGACAGTTACGGGCAATCGTGAAATTGAGCAAGGGTGACAGATATGAAGACAACTCTCTGTAATACACTTCAGTGAAGGTTTTATATACAGAGAAGTATAAAGTGCTCTGCAATGGGAGGGGGGGAGGCGGGGGGAGCAGGCTGAGAGCTCAGTGCTTTCCTAAAGAGCACAGAGCTCTCTTTCAGATGCTCGTCCCTGCTGGGCCAGGGGAAATGACCCTGAACTTGATGTTTTGGGGTTGAGATGATCACAGTAATTTGGGACAGATCAAAGACCCCAGAGGTGGTGGGGCATGACCTTCTAATGCCAGAGAATTGGGGCCAGAGCAGTAACCTGTTTCCTTTTGTGGCTCTGGGGACAGATATTGACGAGTGTGAGGACTACGGAGACCCGGTGTGTGGGGCCTGGAAGTGTGAGAATAACCCTGGCTCCTACCGCTGTGTCCTGGGCTGCCAGCCTGGCTTCCACATGGCCCCCACTGGAGACTGCATTGGTGAGTGGGGCTGGGGGTGTCATAAGCGGGAGGGCTGAAGACACCTTGTTCTCATGTACCCAGCTAGAAACTCTCTCATCCTGAGGAAATTATTTTTGCAGCTGTTTGAGTTTGTATGTTTTCCATATAGCAGGGCTCACACAGAAATTGAAGAGGAATGTTAGAGTTTTCTTGTCCTCTGTTTTGGTGTTAATAGGCCAAGTAAATAAGTATTCCCAGCAAATAAAGTGTGTAAGAATGTGTCCTACACTCTGGTCTCCACTGTCCCGCAGACATAGACGAGTGTGCCAATGACACCGTGTGTGGGAGCCACGGCTTCTGCGACAACACGGAGGGCTCCTTCCGCTGCCTCTGTGACCAGGGCTTCGAGACCTCGTCCTCCGGCTGGGACTGCATCGGTGAGAAGCCGGAGGGCCAGCTAGGCTCTGGGCAGGGAAAGGGAGGCTCTGGGCCCTTCATCCCGTTTCCACAGACCTTGGCCGTCTTGGATAGAGGCCCTAGGGCCCTCCTCCTGAAATGTCCATGGTCACGTGGCTCCATAATGGGCCCTCATGGAGTGGGCAAGGAAGGGAGATTTCAGCTACACCCGACCGCTGGCGCCTTGGCCAGGCTGGTAGAGGAAATGTGGCCACATTCTACCAGTGGGGGAGCCGGCAGACTGATGGAGGCCCCACCCTTCTCTCCAGAGACCTCAGGGTCTTAGGAGGCACATTGATTCAGAGAATGTGCAGAGGGAGGAGCCGTTCTTCTCTGTCTAGTGACCCTTGTCTGTGACCCTTCTCTCTCTTCCATGCCCTCTGTTCCTCCTTCCTGCTAACTCATACCCACTTATGCTCTTCTCCCAAGACCCAGCCTCTTTCTTTTGAGGGGATGAGTATCTGCCCCCCAGGCTGGAAGCAGGGGTAGAGGGCAGGGGCTGCCCCTTCCCCACCCACAAGCCTGTCCTCATGCCTGGCAGATGTGAACGAGTGTGAGCTCATGCTGGCAGTGTGTGGGGCGGCACTCTGTGAGAACGTGGAGGGCTCCTTCCTGTGCCTCTGTGCCAGCGACCTGGAGGAGTATGATGCTCAGGAGGGGCACTGCCGTCCGCGGGGGGCTGCAGGTGAGCATGCTCCATACTCCACCCAACCACTGGGCACTGAGAGGGAGTCTGGGCCAGGACTGGGGCAGGGGTGCAGCTTAGGAATGGAGTGCAGAGAGGCAAGGAGTCTGAGAGTGCAGCAAGGCAAGAGGGGTTCTGCTCCAGGCCAAGAAACATCCAGGAGGCTGCAGGGCTGTGAGGAACCCTACAAGAGGCTCAGGAAGCTCTGATGCTGACTTAGGTTGTCCTTAGGGATCTCAGATTGAGCCTTGGAGGGACCCTCAATCTAACACCAGGAGACCTTCTAGGTGAGGGAGGCCTGGAAGCAGAGCTAAGCTGGACTCTCCTCTTCCCACTGCACCCCAGAGCCGCTGGGTTCATTCAGCCTCTCACCCCAGGCTAGACCAGGACTCAGCTGGCCTTCTCTAACTTGGGGAAAAGAAAGCAGGACTTAGAACAGGAAGGGTGGGAGGGAGTGGGGTACAGTGTGAAGCAGAGGAATGGGCAGAGGGCTTCCCTTATGACTGAGGGCACCCCACTGTAGTAGCAGAAGGCAGGGGGGTATACTGGGAAGAGCAGGGGCTTTGGCACCTGAGAAACTGGGGTCAACTCCCTGCTATGCCACTTAATAGCTGAGGGTTGTGGCAAGTCAGCTAGCTTTTCTAAGTCTCAATTGCCCATCTGTAAAAGGAAGCCAATGGACATAATACTCACCACATAAAGTTGTTGAGAACATCAAGTGAGTAATATGGGAAAAAGCATTTTGTGCACTATAAAGTGGTATATAAATGTTAAATTTGTAAAGGTTAGGGCATCCCAGAGAGCCATGAACAGACAATAATAAGGGACATCTATCACACATAGGTCAGAGCATCCCCGAGACCCCACCAGGGGACCACCTCTCGGGCCCCATCCGCATGGAATGCTACTCTGGGCACAAAGACCAGCCACCCTGCTCCAGTCTCCTGGGCCGGAACACCACACAGGCCGAGTGCTGCTGCACCCAGGGTGCCCGCTGGGGAGACACCTGTGAGCTCTGCCCTGCTGAGGACTCAGGTAAAGCCCCTAATTGTCCTAAATCCTCTCAGGGTCAGCTCTGCAGGGTGACACTGAGAGAAGGGGGCAGAGCCTGCCTCTCTCTAAGCTTGGATGCCTCCCTACAGTGGAATTCAGTGAGATCTGCCCTAGTGGTAAAGGCTACATCCCTGTGGAAGGAGCCTGGATGTTTGGACAGACTACGTACACAGGTAACCTCCCTACACATCCTGCTCCCCAGACTCCACTCACCTGAGCTGGCCCAGCCTGGCCCTCCAGCAGGTCCTGGGAAGCTCTGCACTGCACACAGCCCCAGACTCCCCAGTCAGTCATCATCCCTGTCCTAATGACCTGCAGAGTTTAAGGCTGGAAGTTCTGACCGGAGCCCTTCCAGGAATGTTCATACAACCCCACCTTGGTTTTTCTGCTCCCCCGGGGCTGAGCCCTCCAGGAACAAACTAGGCTGTATTGACTGACCCAGTCTCAGGGCACAGGGAGGGAGAGGGGTGTGCCACTGTGCAGGGGCCAGAGGCAGTTGCTTATCTCCCTGCCCCACTTATGAAGCTAGCACTTTTGGGGAACCCATACTCAAATTGGGTAGTTTAGGTGTGAGCGCCCTAATCCTAGAGCTGGGCAAAGAAACGACGGAAGTTGAAGCAGCTTTCTGTAAGTGCTTGCTATGTGCCAAGCACTATTTTGAACACCTTACAAGTATTAATCTTTTAATCCTCATAACAACTGTAAGAGGTTAGTCGTATCTACATTTTTAGGTGGAAAACTGAGGCAAGGACTTAAGCAAGTTTCCTGAACTCTCTCCACCAGCAAGTGGCAGGGCCAGGATTCAAACCCAGTGAGTCTGGTTTTGGAGCCCTGAGTCTCAGGCACTGCTTCTCGCCTTGCCCTCACCTCGGCCCTGCATTCCACAGACGCTGACGAGTGTGTGATGTTCGGGCCTGGGCTCTGCCAGAACGGCCGGTGCCTCAACACGGTTCCTGGCTACATCTGCCTGTGCAACCCTGGCTACCACTACGATGCCACCCGCAGGAAGTGTGAGGGTGAGGACACACTCCACCCCTCCCCACCCCAGGCCCACCCAGCCCTGCCAGCCGGCCCCTCTGGCTGGGAGTTCCCCTTCCAGGGCCAGACTCCAGCGGCAGCAGGCAGGTCTGAGGTGAGGGGAGCTGTGGGACGTCAGGGATTGTATGTGGGGACCTGTTGGGAAAGTATCCCTGGGGAGGGGCCACCCAGGCTGGGCTGGGGCAGGGGAGGGGGAGGCAGGGTGCCACCTCTTCATTATCAATTACAAGCAAATCCCTTTCCATGAAGGTGGTGGGTGGGCAAGCCACCCTGGCACTGCCCCACACTGTCCTCCATTTTTCCTGCCTCCACAGATCACGACGAGTGCCAGGACATGGCCTGTGAGAATGGCGAGTGTGTGAACACAGAGGGCTCCTTCCACTGCTTCTGCAGCCCACCCCTCACCCTGGACCCCAGCCAGCAGCGCTGTGTAAACAGCACCAGCAGCGTGGGTCAGTGGGCCCGGGATGGGAGGGCAGCGGGGGCAAGGGGACCTGGACTGGAGGGCTCATGGGCCTCTGTCTGTGCCACTAGAAGACCTGCCTGACCACGACATCCACATGGACATCTGCTGGAAAAAAGTCACCAACTATGTGTGCAGCCAACCCCTGCATGGGCACCGCACCACCTACACAGAATGCTGCTGCCAGGATGGCGAGGCCTGGAGCCAGCAGTGCGCTCTGTGCCCCCCCAGGAGCTCTGGTGAGAGGGGTGGCCTGTGCCTTCACGCAGAGAGGGGAGACACCTGCAGAACCAGGTTGGGCCTCAGGGTAAAGAATGCCCTGGCCTTGGAAGGAGGGATTTAGAAAGGAGGGCAGCTAGAGTAGTGGCCCTGTCTTCAGACCCTATTCTTTGGGGATAGAATGGTGGGGCACTGCCAGGAACTCTCAGAGGGCACCAGTCCCAGCATGCTCCCTCTCCCTGGGGCAGTGAGCCAGGGGACAGCACACCAGGCTCTAGCTACCAGAAGCTGGGCCCAACTTCCTCTCCCTCCTCCCTGGCAGAGGTCTATGCTCAGCTGTGCAACGTGGCCCGGATTGAAGCAGAGCGGGAGGCCGGGGTCCACTTCCGACCAGGCTATGAGTATGGCCCTGGGCCCGAGGACCTGCACTACAGCCTCTATGGCCCAGATGGGGCCCCCTTCTACAACTACCTGGGCCCTGAGGACGCCATCCCTGAGCCGCCCTTCCCCAACACAGCCAGCCACCCAAGGGACCATGCACCAGGCCTTGAGTCTCCCCTGCAGCCCTCAGAACTCCAGCCCCACTATGTGGCCAGCTATCCAGGTCTGTCTTGCTGTAAAGATGGGGAAAAGGTGGGCACCAGTTTCACTTCCATCTCCTCCACCTGCTAGTGACTGCCAGCAGGGTGAGGACAGGGAAGGGGAAAGATACTCCAAGCCCTCTCACGGGTCACTCGGGACAACTCCAAATGCCCAAGTCAGACCCTAACAACTCCCTTTGGTAAACCAGCACAGGGGATAGAGTTACAGGACCCCACCGTCCCCACCTCAAAAGCTTCCCGGTGGGAGGAAGCTGAGAGTGGGAGAAAGCAGGTGGAGGAAGCAGGTACACATGTATGGCCCATTTTTCACCCTCACCCATAGGGTGTGCAGAACAGCCTGCTCCACAAGTTCAAACTTGTGACCTGAAGTGTTAATTCAGGATTTCCAATCACTTTAAAGGCCCTGGTGGTGACTTGGTTTGTAAGTGGCAGTGACCCCAGCACTCAGGACTTGGATTCTAATGAGGAAGTCAGGCCTGGCATCTGTGTAGTGCACCCGCCACAGGCCCAGCCACCGTACCAGACTGACTTGACTGCACTGAGTCTAGGGATGGGGTCTTTTCAGGGGTGGGGAGTTGCTTAGTGAGAAAGGAGGGTTAGGCAGACCTGGTAGATTTGCTTTGTGTTGAGTGAGGGTAATCTACTTTTGCTGCCAATCTCCTCCCAGCAGGGGGAAAAAAAAGTAAAGTTTTTAACCAAACACCCTCCTATTACCGGGAAACCCAGGTGGGGTTCGGGCTGCCTATAGCTGTGTCCAATTCAGCGGAGGCAGGGTTGAATCATGTAAGGTACTTATTGAGAAGGCTGGCCAACCAAGAAAACAAGGGAGCATAGGAGTATCCAAAACCTGTCTTAAGGAATGGCCTGAGGGATAGGGTTATATAGGGAAATGGGGTAAACTGAGGCTGGGAACAGAATGCAGCTACATGTAGTCTCAGAAGTCTGCATATGTCATCCTTTTGTTCTTGGTCATCTGGCGATGTCTCGATAAGATGATATCTTGACTCCTGGTTGGGCCAGCCTGACCATGCCTGTTCAAAGATACATTGTCCACAGCTGTGCCACCTCCTTGCTTCCTCTGGGATCAAGGGGAGTGTGCGGGCGTAAAGGCCTAGGAAAAAGAAACTTAAACCCCTGTTCACATAAGTATATGTGTTCTCTAATTTTTAAGTAACATAATTATATTTCAGGTTAATTCAGGTGCTCAATCTTTGGAAGTTGTAAGTGTCCCTATCACTTCAACCAACCACAACAAAATCAAAACTGTACAGACCCACTGCTCAGGAGCCCTGGCGTTGTGAAAGCAGTGAATCCCAACCTTCCTGGAGGCCTCAGTTACAGGTCTCACTTAAAGGCCTACCCAACCTAAAAGGACTATTATTTTTTAAGAGGACCGCCTTTTGTTTTAGCATCTTTCTGTGAGAGTTTTACGACCCTCCCCACCCCACACCAGAAATTCAACAGGGCAACCCTTTGTAGTGGAGGGTGAGGGTCCCAGGGTTGGGCTTCCTTCTATTTTTATTTTTTTTAAGATATATTTTATTGATTTTAGAGAGAGGAAGGGAGAGGGAGAGAGATGGAAACATCAGTGAAGAGTGAGTCATTGATCGGCTGCCTCCTGCACACCCCCCACTGGGGATCGAGCACACAACCCAGGCATGTGCCCTGACCAGAAATCGAACCACGATCTCCTGGATCGTAAGTCGAAATGAAGTTCAACCACTGAGCCACAGAGGCTGGGCATCAGCTTCCTTCTCTTGACTTCCTACCAGACCACCAGGCTGGCTTCGAAGGGCTTCAGGCAGAGGAGTGCGGCATCCTGAACGGCTGTGAGAATGGCCGCTGTGTGCGTGTGCGGGAAGGCTACACCTGTGACTGCTTTGAGGGCTTCCAGCTAGACATGGCCCACATGGCCTGTGTGGGTAAGTTTAGCATCAGAGTGGCAATGCCCGGGAAGCAGACTGGCCCTGATGGCTCCATGTGGAAAAGTCAGACTGGCCCCTTGCTCACTTTAGGGATGCGGGACTAAACTTAGAATGGCTGGAAAATCCACCATGGCCCCCGAGTGAGGCTGCCCAGGGCCAGGCCAGGTCGGGTGGTGAGAAAGCTCCAAAGGAAGGTTGACATCTGTGTTTAGAAAGCCCTTTCCATGGAGATGCTGAGACAGGAAAAGGGCAGGGACAGAGTATGGCCACTCTCCTGGGCACTGTAAGGGCTCACTACTACCTGCTTTGTGTCTTTGAGTAGCTTAGCTTGGGGCAGTGAGTTCAGCCTCTGGCTGTCATACTTAGGATTCC